CTTGGCACCTGGCATGTGCTGCTGAGGAAGGTGGGACAGCCAGCCAACCTAATCTGAGTTGGCGCAAGCCTAGCTCACTGAAAATGAGAACTACAGTGAGAAGGAATTTGCCTGGGTCTGTTGGTTTCTGAGGAGGACATGGGGCACTTTACAGGGAGAAAGACAGACTTGGGACCTCCGGCAACACAGAGGCATGCAGAAGTGAGTGGGGTGAGGCAAAGTAGGAAGCTTTCCTGGGGTGCATTTGTACACAAAGCTGTCCCTGACAGGCCCTGGGAGGCTTTGGGGCTTGCAAGGAGCAAGGACAGTTGGGGATTCTTCTAAGGCAGGGCTGGTACTGGACTGAGCTCAAGGTCTACTTACAGATCTTGTGCCAGCCTCACCTGCAAAGACCTCACCAGCTCTGGGATCAACCTGAAAATCAAGGTCAGAACCCCGGTCTGGTGGAATTCCAAGGCAGGTCTGTCACTGGCTCCGTGGCAGGTGTCCTGAGCTCCACTTAGGGCTCAAGTCCTGCAAAGCACCCGCCCTTCACTTTCCCTTCCCTTTACCTCTTCTATTTCTCTCAGTTTTCATTTCTACTCTTAAATCTATAGTTCTTTGAAACATTAAATTCTAAGATAATTTAATTTTAAGTTAAGATTTCATTAGTTTCCACATGTTCAATTGAGTCACATGTAAGCACTGTCAACTGGTACAATCTTCACATCTGTCTAGTTCCAGGTTTCTGCTCACTGTTAGACCCAGCCATACCCCTGGTCTCTCCTGCTAGTTCCCACCCACCGCTGACCTTTCTCTCACTGTGATTTACTACCCTGGGTTTTCCATATCAGTGCATCAGATTCTGTTTGGGCAAACAATCCTGGAGGAGACTGGATGCTATTGCTGTTTGATAGAAGAGAAAACCACAGATAGACAAAATCTGCAGGGAAAATGTAGAGACCATTGTGTATGTACTCATCTTTTCATGTTGGAAAATGTTATCCATGATTTCAGTGATACAAAGGGAGCTACAAAGGGCTGATTCATTGGATTTGAAAAACAACAATAATGCAAAAATCACAACAGGAAACCTTTCTTTACAACCTTAGTCAGATAGATGGTTTTTACTACAAGTATTAAAGAGGTCTCATGAGTCCATTTTGTGAGGGAAATGACAAATTTTTCTAACTCAAAGTAAATTACCAGACATGGCCAACAAGCACACAAAACACTGAGACTCCTAAGCCTGATTCATGCAGGCACACATCTTTGAAATGTGCTGTTTCCCCATCCAGTGACATATTTTAAGGCAGGTGCTGAACAACAATGGGAAGGACATGCGGGGCAGAGCACAGCCCTATCTTGCAGCTCCCATCAGAGCTCTAAACAGCCTTCCCTGGGACTAAGAATAGAGTTTTCTCCCACACAGAATGCTGCACAAATTTTCAAGAGTTTGATTCACAGTACTCTTTGAAGCAGGAAGGAACTGGGACCCTCCCTAGCCTCTGCATAGAGTGTGCACAGGAGAGTTGTCTGGATGATGCTGTTCACTGCAGCTGGGGGAACCTTGCCCTGGCCCCAGGGCAACAGATCTGCAGGGCTAACGATGACCAACTCATGCCAAAACAAGGTTTTTCCTGGGCCAACCAGCACACTGGGCATCTCCACTGCAATCCAGTGACTCCCGAAGCCAGTAACAGCACTGGGAAAGGGCATTTGAAAACCTGGGTGGCCAGTCAGGTGAGGGGCAGCACTGCCTGTCACAGCTGTGCAAAGTGTGTCTCTCTGGAGCTAAACCTCCAGCGGATCCCACTCATTGCCTTCATCAGGTCTGGCAGCAAGGATGTCACACAGAAGCACAGCAACACACTTGGTTTACTCAAACTAAATCGTTTAGCTTCCCTTCAAGAAATGACTGAAAATGCACCAGTCTGGAAAAATCAAGGCTGGGAGCATTGCTCTGCGTTTTGTATAAATAAAGTGATCCTTTACAAGACATTGTGGTAATGCCCGTGGGTGGGTCTGCTATGGCAGAGATGTGGACTCTCATGAATACAGGTTTTGTTCCTGGAATAGAAAAATTGCAAATAAATGATGTATGTGCATGACTTTCTGTTTGTATTGCACTGAAGGAAAGGGGATGGAAGCAGCAACCTAGATGTACTGAGTTGCCTCAGTAAACCCAGGGCACAATCCACCACATGATTCCATCACCGAATTGTGAAAGCTCAGCAACTTGGTTCCTGCTTGCTGCTGCTGTTGGTTGACAATTTTGAGGTGTTTCTATCTGTGCCAGCCATCTCTGCATCTCTTAGCTTCTATCCCCAGGGTGTAGATCAGGCTAAGTGTTTACAAAAAGTTCCATCATGATTTCAGGACCAGTGGCAGCCTCTCATGTACTGGAAATAATTCTTCAAGTTTGGCCATAAGAAACCTGATACAATGTGCTTGAGAGGGAATGAGATAGTCTGATATACATGCAGGAAACTCATTTTGTCTGTGCCAGACTCAGTTGCTACTGAAGCCCATATTTTTGAGGTAAAAAGATATGAGTTGGAGTGTTGGAAGGCACAGTAACATCCTCAAGCTCAGTTTCTGCTTTGCGTCACTCATTCTACTAAGCTGCAGAATGGATTCTGACTGTTCAAACACATAGGGTGTGAATTGCAGTAGAAGTCTGTAAAAACTTCAGTTAACTAGGGTGTAAAAAGACAAGAAATGTTTTTTGGCAAAATACACCTCTAAATATGTATTTGAAGCATCAAAGAAACCAAGAAGACAAAGATGAAGAGGAAGAAGGAGAAGGAGGAGGAGGAGGAGGAGGAGGAGGAGGAGGAGGACGAGGAGGAGGAGGAGGAGGAGAAGAAGAAGAAGAAAGAAAGAAAAGAAAGAAAACCAAAAAGTAATGCCAATGTGTGTTTTGTCTCCAATGCCTCTGCCTCATTTAGAAAGAAAAGGGTCAAAATTTGCAGAAATGGAAGGGTCACTGTGGAAAATGGACTTTGCCCCAAGGCACTGATGGTGTGTCTGGCCCACTATGAATGTCCAATCCATGGCAGAGCCTGGACCCTGTTGGAGGCTGAGGCCAGGACCCATGAGTTGAGGCCCCTGGGGCTGAGGTGGCAGAGTATTTTCTGCACCCTCATGGCTCTGCCTTATTGGGCCTGCAGGGCTGCAGCATGGATGCGGTGGTGGAAAAGGGTGTAAGGCAGGAGGTGCTGGGCTCCTCTGCATGCTGCACACTCCCTGCTTGGCCTGAGCACAGGAAGATTCAAGTCCTCCTTGCTGGAAAAAGAGACTCTGAAAAGGAGGTCTTGTTCTGTACTGTTTTGATCCATTCTATTATAGGCAACTCTTTTTAAAAATAGCAAGAGGAACAATGGTAACCATTTTTGATCATCTGATAATCTATTTTTGCATCATGTCCTATGCCCACCCTTCTGTTCTAACTGACTCTGTTTTATTTAGTCATGTTAGGATTTATTCTCTTCAAAAAAATGTAATAAGAACTGTGGGAGTAAAAAAACTCAAAAAGTGTAATTGTTATTGTAAAAAACAGGAAAGGAAGGTGGTCTAAGGGATATAACTGCATGCTTGAGTGTGTAGGATGGAAAACCGTATTACTGAGCTTTTGTTGGATCATTGAACAGAACTTTCTGCAATCTCACTGTATGAATGTCCACTTTATATATTCAATGTGTGTGAAGATGGGAACAACTATTTGGAAGAAAACTAGAGACAGTAACATAGACAGTGAACATCTACAGTGGACTTGCTTTGAAATCTGTTTGCTTAACTTGTTTCCTTATGAACTGTTCTGTTCTGTTTTGTCATGTTTAATCTTACCCTCTTTAAGAACAAAAAGTGTGTAGGACAGATAAGCATAATAACAACTTTTTGTTGGATCATTGAGGTGAACTGTTGACAGTGTCATTATTTGAATATCACTTTGTATGCTTTAATTTTGTTACTTGAACAACTACTTCTAAGATGACAATATAATACTAATCAACTAGTGATTTCTTATGGTTTATTTTTCTGAAATTCTGTATTATTTCTACACGTTTTCTTTTTTCTCTTTAAATAAACAACATTACAATTCACCAAAAAATATAAAATTTAAGTTTTACAGAAAAATATTAAGTACATAGACACTATCCATACTTGAAAGTGAAAAGCCCATTTCAGTTTAGCATGTTTAATTAAAGATGCCATGTTGAAACACAAAGACACTTTAAAAAATCTAGAGAGGTACAAGTGATTAACTGAAAACCATACAACATGTGCACCTAAGGAGAGCTCCACCACAGGTTTGTCATTTCTGGAATATTTGTGAAGATATATTGACATCTAACTTCTGTATTGATTATTTCTTCAGGTCTCCCTGTGATTTTTAAAGTAAATTTAGATCTAAACTGTCTGAACAGTGACACTTTTTCTATGTATTTAACAAGAAACATGGATTGCCATATTTCTCACATTGTTAATCCACATAGGATCTCTGCCCAGTGAGCTCTTTCAGATATGTAACAATGATCAAGTATGCTGAGAGTATTCCCATAACACATAAGATTTATCTCTTGTGTGAGTTTTTTCATGTATTTCACTTATAATCTGGCTGCTGAAAGTGTCTCCACTTGCTTACATAGCCAGTGGTTTTTCCCAGTGTGAATTCTTTCATGTGTTTTACAGTGACTGTATGTGGTAAAAGCTTTGCCACATTGTTATATAAATAGGGTTTCTCACCAATGTGAAGTCATGGATGTATTTTACAATATCCATGTTTGGTGAAAGCTTTCCCACATTCTTCATGTACACATGGTTTCTCAACAGTCTAAATTTTATAATGTATTGCACGATGAGCATTTCTGCTGAAACCTACCCCACATTCCTTACATATATAAGTTTTCTGCCCAGTGTGAAGATTTTCTTACATTATGCAATATATACGTGTGCTCAAACCATTCTCATGATTCTTATATACACTGGTTTTATCTTGAGTGTGAACTTTCATGTTGCTTACAATGTCCGTGTTGGGTAAAAACTTTCCCACATTGCTTACATACATATGGTTTCTCTCCAGTGTGAATTCTTTCATGTTGCTTACAATGTCCAGAGTTGGTAAAACCTTTCCCATATTGCTTACATACATAGGGTTTCTCTCCATTGTGAATTCTTTCATGTTTCTTACAATCTCACTACATTTTAAAAGCTCTCCCACATTATTTACATACATAAGAGTTTGTCTCCAGTGTGAATTCTTTCATGTTTCTTACAATCTCCCCATGTGCTAAAAGCTTTCCCACATTGCTTACATACATAGGGTTTCTCTCCAGTGTGAATTCTTTCATGAACCTTAAAATATGCACGTGTTTTAAAAGCTTTCCCACATTGCTTACACACATATGGTTTCTCTCCTGTGTGAATTCTTTCGTGTTCATTACAATTTGCATGAGTGGTAAAAGCTTTCCCACATTGCTTACATACATATGGTTTCTCTCCAGTGTGAATTCTTTCATGTCTCTTACAACCTTCCCGTCTGTTAAAAGCTTTCCCACATTGCTTACATACATATGGTTTCTCTCCAGTGTGAATTCTTTCATGTTTCTTACAATATCCCTGTGTTTTAAAAGCTTTCCCACATTGCTTACATACATAGGGTTTCTCTCCAGTGTGAATTCTTTCATGAACCTTAAAATATGCACGTGTTTTAAAAGCTTTCCCACATTGCTTACACACATATGGTTTCTCTCCTGTGTGAATTCTTTCGTGTTCGTTACAATTTGCATGAGTGGTAAAAGATTTCCCACATTGCTTACATACATATGGTTTCTCTCCAGTGTGAATTCTTTCATGTCTCTTACAACCTTCCCGTCTGTTAAAAGCTTTCCCACATTGCTTACATACATAGGGTTTCTCTCCAGTGTGAATTCTTTCATGATTCTTACAATCTCCCTGTGTTTTAAAAGCTTTCCCACATTGCTTACATACATATGGTTTCTCTCCAGTGTGAATTCTTTCATGTATCTTACAATCTCCCTGTGTTTTAAAAGCTTTCCCACATTGCTTACATACAAAAGGTTTCTCTCCAGTGTGAATTCTTTCATGTTCCTTACAATGTCCAACTTGGGTGAAACCTTTTCCACATTGCTTACACACATAGGGTTTCTCTCCAGTGTGAACATTTTCATGTATTTGAAAATGAATTTTCCTGCTAAAAGCTTTCCCACATTTCTTACATATATGCGATTTCTGCCCAGTGTGAATTTTTTCATGGATTACACAATAAGTACTTGTGCTGAAAGCTTTCTCACAGTGCTTACATTCATAATGTTTTTCTCCAGAGTGAAGTCTTTCATGTACTTGACAATATGTACGTGCTGTAAAAGCTTTCCCACACTGATCACATATGTAGGGTCTCTTTCCTCTGTGAATTCTTTCATGTTTCTTACAAATTCCATGTGTGGTAAAACCTTTCCCGCATTGCTTGCATACATAGGGTTTCCCTCCACTGCAATATTTTTCATGAATCTGAACATTGTCATGTGTTTCTGTTTCTTTCACATTCACATTACCTTCTTCAGTACCAAGGAAGACTTCTTTACACTGATTCCAAGATGTATGTCCATAGGATTTCCCTAGATTTCTGTAAAGAAACAAATCACATATAATATTTATAACCATATTACTAAGTTTTTGCAATCTCGCTGTTTGAATCCCCACTTCATATGTTTCACTTTTGTATTTCATAACTATTTCCATGAGCAGCATATGTAATCATCATCTTGCGATTTCTCACTGTTTATTTTCACTTTGAAAGTAGCATTATTTCTACTTATCTTGTTTTGTTTAAACTTTCCTTATATAAATTTAAAAAAGAAAAATTCACAGTGAAATGGGTCTCTGTTTAATGACTGCATTAATGTCAAGTTCTGTTTTTAATGCCTGCTAAGAAAGTCTGACTATGAAGCAACAGAATGGCCTTGTAAGATATGTTGAAAACAACCATTCCCAAAAGACTGGCACACATTTAGAAATCTTAAAAGTTGGTACTTTGAAATGCAGAATCTTTAGCTTCACTTTGGGCATGGGCACATATGTGTATCACATATGGATTATTCTGATATGTTTCCCCATTCCAATCTCCCTTCTGTCCTTAACCTGTAGTTCCCTTTTCCATATGTTCAGTCTTACTTTTATCTATAAACTGTCTTTCATTTCATTCCACAATTTATATTTTGGTGTCTCATCTAAAAGAAACCCTGTGACCTTTTAGGTTTTATAGCTGAGCTATTTCACTGAATTGATGGGTGAAAGACCCATCTATTTCTTATGGCAAATGACATTATATTATTTATTTTTTGACATTATATAACACATTTTTTTCTTTTCTGGGCTGGGAATTAACAACACGTATTAGCATAAAATCTGTACCTTTTTAAAAATCTATTTTAAGAGATTGTCACTGATCATTAAGCTGTGAAGTTTGAACTTGAATTTGCCATTCTGCAAAATCCGATTCCTAGTGTGTTGGGTTTACAGAAATGCATAATCACAGAGAGTCTATTAACATTTTCCTTCTCCACAAATCCAGTGATAGATAGCTAAGCCTCAAGGCCTGATCTGTTATAACTTGATCTGCTTTGTATATGTGTAAGTATGTATCAGTATTTTATGCAGATTTGAGATTTTAAAAATATCCAGGACAAATACGAGGGGATCAATTTCTAGAGACAACTGCATATTGATATTCAAAATGAGTGCACTAACATTCCACCAGCCTACTAAGAATATTAATCAGAATGGCTGATTCTCTAGAGAATGGCTGGGAAACATGAGCACTCAGTTTTATTTCAAATTCTATTGCAAACTTAGCAATTGTTAGATAATGAATGTGTTATATCCACATGTAGTCATGGGTAGAAAAACTGAAGGCAGAATGTAATAACTCAAAATGTATTCTTTTCATACTCATCTATATGCAATGTCATGCATTTTCATGATTTAATTCCCTCATATATACACCAGCTTATACATCTTCGGAGAATATTACTGACACTAAATTGAATGGTGCCTCATTTCTTTGGCGGTCATTTTTCTTCTGACTCACTAATTACTCATTCTTATACTTGTGTGTATGAATTACCTTAAGTAACTCCAGTAAATTTTGCCTTCTTTTTCAGCTTCCTGGATATCCCCGAGTCCACCTGAATTGTAGACATAGAAATACCAGGACTCTTTAGAGTAATACATACAAATTAATAGGTTTTGTTTAGATTTATGATATAATCTGTCCAGGTGTGAGATATTTTTTAAAATGTTTTCATATTCTTTTTCATGAAACAGCACTAATGAGCAACAAACAATATTCTGACAGCATGAGTGACAAAAAGATTGCATCCTTACCTATCATAGTCATGTTCCTAAAGGTTTCACCCATCACATCTCTGTAGAGCTTCTTTTGGGATGGACTCAGCAAAGTCCACTCCTCATTGCTGAAGTTCACAGCCACATCCTCAAAGGTCACCAACTCCTAAAGGATCATAAATATATTTCTCAATGGAAGGTTGAGACCCCAGGTTTGGGATATCTTAAATTCTCTCCTAGAAATCTGAATCAAAAGCAAAGTGTGGTGGTGCATATCTATAATCCCAGCACTCAAAAGGCTGAGACAGGATGGCATCAATGAGGTCAGGGCAATTCTAGGCTCTATAGGGTGTTCAAATCCATCTGATATACATACAGAAAGCTTGTCTCAATAAAACAAAACTAAACTAAACAACTAAAACCAAACAAAACAGCTGAATGAAGACTGATTTCTTCAAATTTTAATCCATGTCTTGGTCAGTAATTTTGTGTATATACACATTTTTGAAGACAGCAAATTTGATGCTAGATTGCAACTCTCTGCAAATGTAACAGCCAAATAGGAACACTGATTCTTGTGCTGAATCATGGCAAGATTCCTCATGCACTGTCTCTAAAGCAGAGCTCACAGTAACAAGCCTACAGGACCAGCAACCACAAAGCACAGAGGCAGACAAATATCCCACCAATTGACTGGAATGCCAAGCAAGCACCTTCCCTCCCAGGTCAGCGGTGGTGGTTTGGCAAATTGAAGCCCTTGCAAGGGGAAAACAAGCAGCAGCTCCTGAGATCCATCCCATGCTGGAATTTAGGACACTGGGAAGCCAGTCAAGCACCACTTCTCCCTGGTAAGCAGTGGCAGTCTGTCAGACTGCAGCCCTTCCAGGCGGAGAACCAACAGCAGCTCCTGAGATCCATGCTATGTTGGAATTTAGGATGCTGTGAAACGAAACAACCAGCCTGTCTCTCTACTAAGCAATAGTGAACCTACTGATGCACCACCTAGAATCAAACATCCCACTTCCCTACCCCTCTTCTTCTGTCACCCCCATTAGCAAATTGGAACCAGAAATCTAAGTGCCTCCTGGGAAATAAACCATAGCGAATAAGGGGGACTTCCTTCTACTATCTCTTTGAAGGAAAATGGTTTTATTATTGTTTCACTCTATTCTGATTAATAGTATTGCTCTATTCAATATTTTGTTTTGATAAGTTCTATAATGTTCTGTATTTCATCTCATTTTGATATATGTGATTAAGGAACAACTATTACAAAGATAACAAAATATACTGTGATACCTATTACTGTTATCCCAGTAACCTGTTGTGAAGTTGTGTACCAACTTCACTGTATGACCTTAGTTGACCTTATGCTGCCTTGTTCTGTTGTATTTTACCAATTTCAAAATTAAATTAAAAATCTAATCAATCACTTTGATAGACTACAGATGATGTCTCTTCAAATCTCATTTAGGCCAATGAGTACTTTGTTCTTAATATACTTAAGCAGCATTTTGAAACATTAATTTGGATTCATAGAACAAAACATAAATAACATCAAATATGGTATATAAATAATAACTCAAGTGTTAGGGAAAAACAGCTGTATTTTAAAAATATGTATATAAAATGAAACGAGGCCCAAGCTGTAAATTATACCACACTGTCACCAAGTGATCACTTTCAATTCAAATATAAGAAATATATCTTGGGATGCTGGTGAAGGATTTCTTCCTTGAATTTGGGGCTATCCTAAGTTACAGAGCTGTCTAAAATAGACAAACCCTTATTGAGACACCGAACAGACAAAGTGAAACTTAAAAAGAGACTGCATAAGACACCTTTGGTTTGTTTTTAAAAAATTATAGCCATACAATACAGAAAAATTCCAACAATATTCAACACTTTCTGAGAAACAATGTGGATCTCTTCCATACTACACAGAAAACACTTTCCTAGTTGGGTATTGAGCTCAGTGGCATGAACGCCTGCCTGGAAAGCATAGGTCATGCATTTGATCCTTGGTACAAAAAAATTGAAAATTTCACCTTCATGACACTGGGGCATAATTAGAGATAATCAAATTAGATCTCAAGTATGGAATACAAAAATCATGTGTTGACAGGGATGTGGAATACTGATTGTTGCCAGAGCTGGTGTTGATCACCTCAATGAAGCAATCAGAACCCAACTTTACTTCATACTCACTCTAAAAACTACCTGACTTTCAGTGAAGACACTCTCTGTTGTATGTCCTGCTATTTGCTGCCTGCATCCTGTCAGTCACTTCCACATCTTTTCCACACTCCTCTGATCCATCCAAACAGAAAACACTTCATGCCTAACTATTGATATCATTGCAAAATTTCTATTTGGGGCTTCTCATTTACACCAGTTTGATATGTTCATTGTAGAGAATTTCCATATTTAAACTGTCTATTAACACCCAAGCTACTAAACCAGCTCTTAATTCAGAGATGACACCTCTATTCCTTTCCATTCAGAAGGATATCACATGTATATGTCCATGTAAATGCCTAAAGTTTGGCATTTTCCGATGAGAATTTAACAGGTAGCCCTTTCTGGAATTTCTCCTTCACAAATTTTTACCCTCTCCTTGATAACACTTTCATATTTGCTTCATTTTTCTCAGACTTCAAAACTCTATGGCTGTTTTCACAAACCTAGTCTGTGAGTATGGGTGACACCTAAATAACTAAGTATGTTCAGAAATTATTTTGCAATGTTCAAGAATACACAGGAGTTCACCAATTGTTTGGGAAGCCTTTCTCCACTGAGGTACACTACTACATATCTCTGAATTCTCAGGACCTTTGTCACTACCTGTCATGAGGATAGAAATAGGAGAACATACTATAAAATTAGGAGATCACTATAAATACAAAAAAGCCCAAGTTTAAGTTGAGCCATTGTGGCTATGAGGCCCTGCATTACATACATTAATAAACTCTGGACATTCCAGATCAGCTGCTCTGAGGAAAGAGAGCATAGACCTAGCTCATTACTGCTCTACAAGCTACAAAAGCATCATAGTCAGGGTCTTCCCAAGCTCCTCCCAGTGCCTAAGATGGTGGACTTACCAGGCTAGCAGTGAATTTCAAAGATGATACTTGTGTCTGCTGCTATCATAGTGAAGCCAGGGTTCTGGTGACCCCAAATTACCCTTGCCAATGGCAAGAGGCAAAAGGGATGGTGAATGACCCATGGCCAAAGCTGGAGGACCTCAGGAGCTGAAGATAACTAAATACCTGAGGCTACCAACACCGGAACTACTCCTAAACACTTGGAACTGGTTCCGCCCAATCCATCCTATTTCTGGGCTACTATCCACAACCTCACTATTCCATGGATCCAGGATCTCTCAGGTTCTTTGCTAATCAGGCCACAGGACATCAAAAGTATTAAATGAGATCCAGCAAGCATTTTGCTACCAGTGTTGTACTCAGAACAGGTAAATCATGCTGAGACACCAGAACAGACAGAAGTCACAGCCAGCAATGGCCCACCTCATTGGACAGTTCATATAGCCTGCCCCTTCATCACTGATTGACTCCTGCTCTATTGACCTCCTTCTGAGTCAAGAATAAACAGAGAAAGGAACCACTCCCTGCAAGATAGGATCCCAAAAGATAGACTGTATTGCAGAGACTTCTGGAGCTGCCATTCTTCTACAGTGGTGATCTCAGCTCGACAGAGGAGTGTTTTTACAGAAGAGCTTTCCTCAGGCTTTTAATTTTCAAATCCATTTGATTTCAAGGAAAAAAGAACACATCAACTAAAATTAAATTCCAAAACATGTCAATCAGGGGACAACAATGGTATATACATTGCACACTGTCATCCCCAGATCATTCACCCAGAGCACAAGACATCTGTACTCAATTTTCCAAACAGTACTATTACAGGGACGTGAGTTATTTAAATACTATTGGCATGAGACATGGCTAGGTCCCCCAAGGAGCCCATGCAGGAGACCAGATACCTTGCAACTGTGGGGAAGACTGACACCTCATGCTATGGGCCAAGGCTCAAGACAAATGATAAGCAAATTCATCCATATCCTAAGGATTGATATTCTAAATAGTTCCCTAGCACTCTGAGGAAGTCAGGAGTCACCATTTAAAGAAATGTATCCTTATCCTAAAGACTGACATTCTAAATAGTTCCTATCATCCTGAGGAACTCAGGAGTCACCCTCCCAAACCTCTAAGGGAAGAGATACAGCTGCCTAAGAATGCCTGCTTTCTATGTGACTCCCTTCCCCCTTTGTTCCCAATTTAATCAACTTTACCTGAACTTATAATCTTATTGGCTACCATAACTCTGTCCCATCTTATGCCCATCTGCATTGTGAGTTCTTAGTTTCCCCCACCTTAAACTCACTTCACCACATGATTTTACTCTATAAAGGTCCCTAGAATGCACAGTGTTTGGCAACCTGCTCAGGATACCTTCTCTCTCTCAGGCAACATTTTTTCTCTCAATAAGTATATTCTTCTCTTAATTTCTGTTGTTCCTAAAATTCATTCTTGGACTTTACAGGACAAAAACCTAATATCAGACATAGTAGACAGGGAGATTCATTCCAGTATATCAATATCAGTATAAACTTTTCTCTTTCCTGAAGTCAGAGAAATCCAGTAGTGTGTATCACACATTGTTGATCTCACCATGCCATGGATATTTGCATTGAAGGCTTTTATCCCTGCCTTTAAGTGCTGCTTCTTTTTCTGAAACTGAAGTGATCTGTAATTTTGGTTATGGTATTGAAAATGCATTAAGGAACTGACTCAAAATATTTCTTATGAATGGTTTACCAACAGCCATGGAGGAAGACAGATAGCAAAAATTCTTTGTTTTGATTTCTTCATTCAAACCAAAGGATGTACTTGAAAGAGCTTTGCCCTTCAAACAATTACAGGACCTCATGGTTGTAGTTCAAGGTGGAAGAATATGAAATCAGGGATACTTACTCATAAGGCCACTTCCTCTTTTCTCCTTGAATACAACTTCCTCTTTCTTTCCCAGAGG